TCTTGGGCGAAACTCTTGGCCAAATGTTATGTTTCTGTTTATGACTGTTGTTGGTTCTTACTGTCGCTGTGTAGACCCGTGTCCCTGGTGACTGCCATCAGGGTGGCTGAGGATGTGAGGGCCTGCTCACCCCCAGAGGGCACTGTGAAGTCATGGAGGAAGTTCAGGGTTGCTCAGTGCCTGGGGGATGACTTTGACTTGTTACTTCCCCTCTGTGAGTTTCCATTTCCTCATCCCTCCGGTGATGTTCTAGACCCAGGGTCAGCTTGTACTTAAATAGTACATAACTCCACGCAGTTTGGGAAACAGGGTGAGGATTCATGGGCTGAAACAAGGAAGCACAACTCAGCAGGGTGTTCACTCTCCTTGCAGTGTCTGGTCCAAAGAGCTGTTCCAGTTACCTCTAGGATGGGGGTCCGTTCCAAGGATGCACAACTAAGTGAGGACCCATGAGAAATTCTTTAGTAATTAATAAATGAAACTCTGTTCTGGACATAACAATAACGAGCTAGCTCTTGATCACTCTGTGACTTGGTTTCTCGTCTCTGCTTCTCTGTCTATTCTCTCTTCTCCATTTGCATGGCTCTCAGTCTCCTATGTATGGTGTTCGGACCCCATGAGAAATAATCCTTTGATCAGTTTCCTGCTCCAGACTTGATGCCCACGTTGGAAAGTGTCTCACACCACCTCTCCTTTGGGGCTAGTTTTCAAACAGCAGCTCCATCTCTTGCACTGATGTTCCAGAGGTTGCTTTTCTCCTTGCTCACACCACCTCTGGGCCATATGCTCAAAGCATCATCAACAGATGGGGGAGAACGTTGCTTCTTCTTGAAATTGGAAGGGTCAATGACAGAAGTACAGTGACTTAAAATCCTGCTTTATGGCAGCTCTTTGGAAAATGCCTGGGGCTTGAGTTGACTCCAGGTCAGGATTGGCTTGATGGTGAGATGGACTGTAAAGATACCAGATGGTCTTTTATTTTGAAAAATAAAGATCTAATTATAAAACCAACATATGCTCATGGCACGAAATTGGGAAAAAACAGAAAGTAGGGAAAAATCAGGCATATTCTCACAATCTCAAAGCAATCCCTTTTACTGATGTGTTTCAATTCCTGCCTTTTCTCGCGCACGCCTTTCGATTGTTCTCACACGTGTACCACTCTATGCGCTGAGGCTTTTTGGTTTTTAATTTTGCTCAAGATGATAGTACAGGCATCTTTATTAAAATCATAGTTCTTTACTTTCTATTTTTCTTGAGGTCTCACAGACAGCCTAGGGCGCTGGTTTGGGTTGTACAGCTTGGTGAGTTTGAATTTGCACACACTCCTGGCACCACCACCTTGAGGACTATACTTCCCTACCACCCAGAAAGGCGCCCTGGGCCTTGCCTGGAAGTAAGTCTCTCTGTGACTTCATACAGATTAAATCCACCTATTGTTTAACTCCGACTCGACAGGATCCCAGATGCTGTCCTCTCCTGTATGGTTTCTATCTTTCCACGTCACCCCGTTGACTATGTTTAACGGTGCCCTATTAATACACCACCAGGCTCTTGGTGGTGTTGTCCACTAATATGAACAATGCTGAACTGTAGCCACCAACAATGCTGTGACGTCCTGTCAAGGAGGAAACTCCTAGTGCCCCCAAAGCCACCTTTGCCAAGACAGCCAGAGAATCCCCACAGTCTTCACAGAAAGAGGAGCAACTCTCTCTCCTCAGTGTCACCCTGGGTCACCTGCTTGCCTTAGCAATGAGGCTTGGGTCCTGGGACTCCTAGCATCCTATGTGGGGATGACCTCGCCACCTTCTGTCTCAGACGCCTGTCATGGTGGGAGGTTGGGAGGTGACCATGCTGCTCTTTCATTCCTGCCTTTGTCCCCTCTGGACCCTTCTCAGGATAACCCTCTTCCCAGCCCACGTGCCACATCCCTGACACACCCCATGAAAAACATCCAACCCAGTAGGCACCAGCAGGCTGTCCGTGTGCTTAGATATGTCCAGACATGGTGGAAGAATCCCCTTGACTCAGCTTAGACGTGTGCCCTACACATCGGGGATATTTCTTTCAGGAGCTCATGTGGTCTGAGGCGTGGCAACACCGAAGTCCAACATGCTGATTAAGGTGCACATCTTAAGTGGGTCAGGCCACACCTGCAGCTCTATATTTAGCTCTCTGCATAACAGGATATTAGGTAGGGCTCTTTTGGTTGCCCCAGTACTGGCAAGTATGGCTTAAGGATGAGGGCAAAGAGGTGTGCCCTATTGTTCTAGAGAAAACCACTGACACCTGAGGTCAAACACCTCTTTAGGGCTTACTAAGAGGTGACATAACCAGCCCTGTGCCTCCACCCATCACATCGTCCCCTTCCACCCCAGCCTTCATAAGGAGTCCATTGGGGGGAAGGGTTGCCAATGTGGTATTGATGGGGAACATAGTGGAGTCTCTTTCCTCAAGGCCCAGGGGGGCTCTGAGAGAAGAGGGTGAGGAATGGGGGTTTGCCAAAAGTAAGGCCAGCACTCCTTTCCCGTGGGTCCCTCACGAGGCAGCCTTCAGCTGACCAGAGGACTAGAGATTGGAGGAAGGTGGTGGGTGGAGATGACATGTCAGTTATGCTGCAAGAGTGTCCCTAGGCTGCACTTGCCCGAGTCACCTGACAAGAGGTAACTGGACAAGAGCCGTTATGCTGGATCCCAAGGTCTGTGTGAGGCGAACCCAGCGCCCAAGAAATAGTAGGCTGGAAGAAGTCTAGTTGAAGAGAGACCCTGTGTGTCTAAGAAGTGACCATGGGGAACCCCACCAGCTCTAGGCCCTTTGAAGGGAGCACACAATTATGCTTGCCTTTCTGGTGGACTATGGCAGGAAGGTCGACTGGGTAAAGATGCATTCACCCTTTTCCCAACTATCTCCCCCTCCTCTCAATACTTGTCCAGAAGAGGGAGCAGCACAGAAGGACTCCCTGACGTAGGTCACTAGCCATGGGCTCGTGCAGAAAGAACAGGACACACCCCTAGCCTAGGCGAAGCCCTTTAGAATCCAGTTGACCCTAGGGCTGAAACTGATTGGAGAGAAATAAAATAATTTCATATCATGAATGGAGGACGTTAGGATGCTTTATAGGAGACAGTACAACATGAGACTTTATTCAATGCCCTGATCTTTGCTTGTGAGGCTGCTGTGCTGGGGAGTACCTAGACGGTGGCAGGAAGAGGCCTTATAAATACCTGATCTTGGGCTTGGGTCTCAGCAGGCCCCCCAGTCTGGATTCACCCATGACATTACACAACTGTTTACAACCCCAGACATGCACTTTCCCAACCTACAAACACAGTGCCAAAGTGACCACACCTGGAGAAATTTCCAACCTCCATCACTCCCCAAACTCGGGCCCCATCCCCTCCATCCTGAGCTGCCTTGCAAAATCAGACGCTCGGCAGACCAGACTCTTCTCTTGTGGTGTGCTTCCCGGAGTGGTGCCAGGTGGGCTTTCTTGTGGGCCAATCTCACCTGACACTGTTTCAATTTGTCAGGGAAGTTTAGATTATGAGCAAAAGCAAAAGAGGAAGGATAGGGTCTTGGTGAGTAAGCCCTCCCTCCCTGACAGCTTCAGGGCCTCTCTGCAAAATGACCAGCCCTTCCTAGATGCTTTGGGCATCACAGCCAAGGGGGATGGTATGGGGTAGGCTATGGTGAGCCTCCTCCTCCATCAAGAATGTCTTGAGACACCTGTGGTTTGTCGTGGTGAGCTTTCCTCACCTCATCTCTGTTTACCTCTAATTGCCCACTGAGAGGTTCCCCCCAGGACATGGGGCTCACAAGTGTGAACTGGGCTGGGCTTTAGGCCTTCTAGTGGCTGAGAAGAGGCTCTGCCCAGTCACTCTTAAGGCTCTGTTTGCATGAGGCAGATGTCACTTGTGCTCACATTCCAGTGGCCCAGTGGCTGTGGACAGGATGGGGCTGTGTGACCCACAGGACAGGCTGCAAGTCACACAGCAAGGGCAGGCGTGTGACTAGAGCACAAGTGTAAAATTGTGAACAAAACACAGTCTCCCATACCACAGTCTAACAAAACAGAGAATGGCTTTTAAAAAATATTTTTTTTTAACAATATAGTTAAAACACTGATTTATTTTCCAATATTTACATTTCATCATCATCAAAATCGAATCATATGCATTTGTTAGGATATCTGAAGGTGACATCCCCCACTGCCCCAACTTCCAGAAACCTCTGGCCATGTGGTAAAATGAAGTTACACATTAGTAACTTCCAGCCCCCAAGCTGCCTAATTCCCGAGGTTTCTTGCTTCCATCAGATCAGAAATGCACCAGGTGACAGCTAAGAGCATCCTTAATGTGGCTCAACCAAGAGGAAGGCCCTTGCTCACTCGAGCGAGCAAGCGAGCTTCTCCAACTCCCTCCATTACAAGTAGACTTTAAGACGTCGGATCAGAAGCCAGCTTGTCTTAGGAGTTCCCTCTGGCCCAAAGGGGACCACTCGTCATCAGCAAGGCCATCTGCAGGGCATTGAAGCACTTGAAAATGTTTAAATCCATGACTTTGTAATGACAGAAAAATACATTTGGGGAGAACACATTCTCTCAGGCAGCTGCGTCAGGTCCCCAGTCTCCCAAGCACACGTCAGGCTCCAAGCTTTTAAGCTCAAAGCCAGAGTTGTCTCTTTAATTAATACAATATTAAATGAGCAACTCTTTAAAGAACACTTCATCATGCAAGTTACAATTTTCAGGCTTATTTTATTTTTCTATTTAAAAAAAAATGTCTGAACTCTATGCCTGTATCAAAAAATAAAGCTCTGGAAGGTAGACTAGGAAACATTAGTTCCCAACCCATCTAGAACCTTCCTCATCTAGGCTTACCCTGCCTGGTAATTTAGACACTGAGAGTCGCAGGCCAAGACGTGTGATTTTCAATGCAGGAGCCTCTGTCACTCCTGTCTCCAGTCTCCTCTGCCTCGAGGACATGACTCAGTGTCCCCACCATTTGCTGTTTCTCTCCTGTGACCGTCAAGGGGCATATGTGTGTGTAGTTTCCTTCACATGCTCCCTTGGTCTGCTCCTCTGGACCTTCACAAACTGTCTTTTGGAGTAGGGACAATTGTACAGTCAAGAGTGACATGATAAGGACTGTGGGGGGGGGGGGAGGAAGGCACCAGGAGGCAGGAACAGCAGCCCCAGTTGTTCTGGAATATTCCCTGAGCATGCATTAGAGATACAGAGAGTGACATGAGTCTGTCCTGGCACGGCCCTTTGGTTCCTGGGTGCCTGATTTTATAGATCTTTCTTCTTCAGCAGAGGCTTGAGTGCATATGGACTGTCATCTCCCTTAAAGTACAACAAGCAAATCGTCACTCATTTTACAAGCCAACTGAGACATCCTGCTCCCCAGTGGAAGGGGTGTATGTGGAGCTCACTCGATCTGCTGTCTCCCTGTAGAAAACTGGACACTGTTTGCAGAGATGCTTGGCGATGTGCTTCCGGAAGAACACCGAGAGATACCTTCTGAACTTCTCCCCGACGAAGGCGTAGATGACAGGGTTGATGCAACAGTGCGTCATCCCGAGAGTCTCTGTCACCTGCATGGCTTGGTCCAGCTGACTGGTGCTCTCACAGTTACTCAGGCCAAAGAATTCCTGGAAGGTGGTCAGGAGGAGGACGATGTTGTAGGGAGCCCAGAAAAGAAAGTAGACAATCATGATGGTGAAGATGAGCCTCACAGCCTTGTGTCTCTTCCTCTCATTCCGACACCGAAGCAGGGTTCTCAGGATCCCCGAGTAGCAGATGACCATGACAAGCAGGGGCAGCACCAGGCTCAAGACATTCCTCATTATTGTATGAAAGTTCTTCCATTTTAATGGAAAATATGGGCCACAGGAGTAATGAGAATTTTCTTCTTGGAATCTAGTAAAGATGATTCCTGGGACAGAGGCAAACATGGCCGCCACCCAGGTGATCCCACTTGTCACCACCCCGAAGGTGACAGTCCTTGCTTTTAAAGCAAACACAGCGTGGACAATGGCCAGGTACCTATCAATTGTCAGGAGGATGATGAAAAAGATTCCTCCAAAATAACCGATTTGATACATCCCCGTGAGTGACTTACACATGACATCTCCAAAGATCCATTCATTTGCAGCATAGTGAGCCCAGAATGGGAGAGTGAGAAGGAAAAGCAGGTCGGAGATGGCCAAATTGAGCAGGTAGATGTCAGTCATGCTCTTTAGCTTTTTGCAGTTGATCAGGATGAGAACTACCAGCAGGTTGCCCACGAAACCAAAGATGAACACCAGAGAGTAGAGCGGGGGCAGGAGCAGGGCTCCGATGTGCTTCACGTCGGGTTTGTAACAGGGACTGCTGTAGTCATAGTCATATGTGGTGGTGGATTCTTCATTGCTTCCTTTAATACTTCTTATAAACAAAGAATGAGATGTGGATAATATATTATGGATGAACTGGGGTAACGTGTCCTTGTCTTCCATTTTCCCCTGTTCTGTAAAAGAGAATGGAATGAGGACCGCATAACAAACATGTCACCATCCATGGTCCAAACAGCCTTGCAACTGAAGCAAATTTCTGGTCTTTGGTCTCTCCTTCACAACCATCTCCTTGAAAGCAAGTGCCCCACTTCCCTTTTATTCTTTTTATCAGACACTGGTTTGTCCACCCAACAGCCATTTCCAATGCCTTTGTCTCCCCCAAACCAGCATCATTCCTGCTTAACTAAAACTTCTGCATGCTTAACTTTCTTTAGCTCCTCTGCAGGTAGCACACAGGCTTGTGATCCAGCCCTGGACAAGTGAATCTTCTGGAAAGGTAAGAGAGACACAGAAGAAACACTTCCTGCTCTTTGACTTTTGCAGCTTGTCTTATCTGGGCTTGATACTTGGGACCATAAACAAGAAACCCAGAGAACTAGAGAAAAGCCATGAAAAGTCCCAGGAGATGAGAACTGCTCATCTTCTAACATTATCATTTGATGGGAAAGAAAAAGCCATCGTGAATTGCATTTTCTATTACTTGCAGCCAAAAGCATTTTGATGACCCTCTCAACTTTCTACCTCCACTTTTCTTGCTGAGATTGCTATGACAACCCAATTTTCAAATGCCTTAATTTTGTTCCAATTTCATCTTCATAGAGCAATTGATCTTTTGCTAACTTTCTCCACTTAAAGCTCTTTGCTTCTAGGAGGAAGTTCCTTTCTGACAACCTCTTATTAATGTATTTTGTTGGCATCTCTCCCCCCTGCCCACACCATATGAGCCCTCACGTACTGTAAGCTCTTATGCCAAATAAGCACATGTCACATGATCTTCCACACATTGTATGCCTCTCAAGGTCAATGACTGGATCATGCTTCCATGTCAAGCTCTTATGATTTCTTGGCTTTCATTTCTTATCATTTGCCTTTTATTTTTGCTCCAAAGTTCTTCCTGAATCATCTCAGTCAATCTCAGTGTCTGACCCCCCTGTGTGCTAATGCTTCTCAAAATCCCTTCTTCAAGTTGCACCTTTTCCCTGAATCTCAGAGTCGAACTTTTCATTGTCCTCTGCTTATCTCCCCATGGATTTATTTGCTTCACCAATGTTTGTGGAGTGCCCGCTATGATTCATAGTCTTGTTTTAGGCGCTGGAGATTCATCAGTGAGCAATACAGGCCTCAAGCAGGTACCACACATTCAACCAGCCACCAACTAAGCATTCCCTGAAATTTGCTCTAGGTTGTGGGATCCTTATCTTAATTGTTACTTTGTTGTCTAAGAAACAACACTTGGCATTACCCTGGATCCCTTCCTCTTCAGAAAACTTGGGGTCAGATCTTTGGAGCCAAATGGACCTGGATTGGAATCTTCCCTCCAATGTCTAAGTTGTGTAATTTGAGGTCAATGACGTTTTCAAGTATTAGTTGCCTTGCATATAAAACATTGAGTTGCTACAAAGACCATTAGAGATAAGTGAGGATTTAGCATAGGCTCTAGGGGAGAGAGAGGCTCTGAGTTATTATTGTCATAAAAGTCCTACCTAACAAAGACCTCTCAGATTCCTCCCCTCTGCATCTCTTTCAAATGTCAGTTTCTTGTCTCATAAACTCCTCAGCCCTTGCTTTGTTGTGGTCTTTCCTTTGCTCCTGCGTGGTCCGTAGCCATGTTCCTTTTCAATATGTCTTCTCTAAAGCTGAAATTGCATCATGAGCTTCTCAGCCTAAAACCTTCAGACTTGTATATGGCAGAATCTTAAAGACAACAGCCAGACAGCTCAGCAGGGCCTTTCTAAGCTAGTTTCTTACTAGTTTCTCACTATTTCCCTCATGCATCAGTGGTTTTGTATGTACTTGTTCCTCTGCCTAAAATGTCAGTGAGCACCTATTCATCCTTTAATACCTCCTGCTCCAATTTCCCTTCTCTGTGAAGCCTAATGTGCATGCTCTGTCAAACCACCTTACACAGTCAAATAGGCACATGTCACATGATCTTCCACACATTGTATGCCTCTCAGGGTCAATGACTGGATTATGCTTCCATGTCAAGCTCTTATGATTTCATCTATCAAAAAGAGGTACTAGCCAATGTTCACTGCTTGAGCACATGAAACTCTTTGTAATGATAATAACAAAAACAAGAAGACCTACATCCCTAGGACTTGATTTTTTTTTTCCTGGCAGTGACTATACATTTGTTTTCATCTATCCATAAACCCAATCTTTCCCTCTCTCCTGTGACTGCCACATTTCACACCACCAAGTCAAAATATTGAAAACTGGAGAAGCTAAATAAGATCTAAGTTGGGAAAAAATGCACCCACTAGAAAATTCCAACTTCAGTGCCCCTGAAGCTGCAGGTGCTGTGTTAACTACTGTGTGCAGACTCATGAACTTAAACTTCAGCACAGCTAGCTAGCACTGGGTTCCTACATAGTGGCACTGTCTTAGGTGTCATTTCAAGCATCAGGACAGATCATCCAGAACTGATAGGGAGCAGCCACCTCTCAGAAAAAAGAAATTTCTCCCTTCAGTCTCAGTGGACCTCCTGAGTGGAGGCAAGAGGCACATTTTGGTCCAGGGCCTGAATTGTCCCCTATAGGGAAAAGAGGGAAAGATTTCAAGATAGAAAGTTCCAGCTCTTTGAAGCCCCTGCATGCTCAGAGGCACAGAAAGAGCCCATGGGAGCTTGGAGGGTGGTTGGACAGAGCAGCTGTTCTTACTTCTTTGTTGTCCACTTTTTGCCATCACCTAAGTCCCAGGGAAAGTCACAACGTGTCCCACCCTGCATTTCCTCACTGTCATCTGGGTCTTCTTAACATCTGCTAATGCAGCCCCTCAGGTAAACCTGCACCCTGCACTTCCAGCTTTGAGTCTCTGGTTCCTAAAGTAGTGGAAAAATCCCCTGCGACTCACCAGTGGATGGCTTCTTCCAGGTGGCCCCAGTGTTTCAGGCTTCTCAGCAAGTGCACCAGACGGATCTGGAGGTAGAAACTTGGTGTGCAGAAGTAGGAAATAAAGTTTCCTGCAGAAAGAGAAGGCGGAGATATAAGGGCAAGTGATGGTGAAGATTTAAAAAAAAAAGCATAAAGAAGATACAGTTCTTCTTTTCCAGATAGGAACGTTGAACACTACTGGGCTGAGGTCTCCAGAGGAGGATTGATTTTGAAATCTTGCTTGTGCAACCTTGATTGTGAGTCAGGGAGTCCCTGTACATCTGTTCTGACATCTAACTGACACTGGGCTTCTTTATCTGATGGGTCTCTGCATCTGGAACTTTTCCACTTGCTGCCCTGCTACTTGTGATCATTTGCATGACATAAAAACAGCAGAACTGAGCATTTCCTAGAGGATAAATGCAAGGGGGCTGTTTGCTGTGGTGCAGGAAACGCGATGGGGTTTTACTGTGACCGGGCGCACTGGTTTCAGTGCTGTGAATTTAGGATCTGTTTTAAAACTTTAATTAGATCAAGCGTTTAATGAAAGTGATAGCTAAATGATCTGTGGGGTCAGGGACATCCTCAGCAAGAATAGTCTCACTTATTATAGGTCCCACTCCTCTGAAAGATATTTTGTTAAGAGAAAACAAAATTCTGCAGTGTAAGAACCATCCCTAAGGTCTGATAGGTCTTAGGTGGGATCATCTGAGCCAGTCCCTGGAACTCTCTAGAATTCAGCAGGCCCTGGGGTGAGGACCTCATGCTATGTCCTTCGCAAATTTCTAAGCTTCCACTTCCTTGAGAATCATAAGATCTCTGAAGCCTATAAGGGTTAAATGATCATAAAACAGCTAGTATAGTATCTGGCACACAGTAGGCACTCAATGAGGGACAAACAGCTTCACCTGAGCCGTGTGCAGAGGGCAGAGTTGAAGGATACAGCCAGTCCAGGATAACAATAGCAAGAGACCCTCAGTGCAGTCCAGGTATCCTTTCTAGAAATGAGTAAGTTTAACCGTGGGTGGGTACCATGTAAGACGAGGTTTTTGTGCTAAGCAAGGATGGCCTCAGGGTTTTCTTTAGAAGGCAGTTCCTTTCCTTCCTTGTTCAGGAACAGGGTGTCCTGCTATGTCTGGAATCTCCTGACCCTGGATCTTGCCACCAGTTTTTTTTTTTTTTTTGATTCAACCCAAGATAGGGAAGGTCAAGACCCAAGAAGTTTGCTGTCTCCAATTAGGACCACTTTACATTTCTATCCGCACACTAGAGATCATTGGGTCTAGTCCTGTCATTTTGTCATTAAGGAGAGGTGCTGAAGTAGGTGACAGCAGAGCCAGGATTTAAATCCTATCTGACCACAGGAAACTAGTGACACCTGCGGCTGAAATTTGCAAGAGATTGTATAAGTTGGAAAGTACTTACAGAAGGGCAACCAGGGTTGAGAGATCCAAAGGGGTGGTGAGGTGTCCAGAGTCTAGCAACATCAGAAACTAAGACTCCTATGGTTGTGGAAGTCCAGAATGTGCACCCCAAAATATTCTTCTTTGGCATTAGGATCGATGAGCTGAAAGTAATTTGGAAGGAGCAGATGCAGAAAAGTTCTCTGCCTTCCCTCTAAAATAATACATAGATTTTATAAAGGCAAAAAGTGTCCCACACCCCTTCTACCAGAGAGAGCAAAGGTTAACCACCAGAGACAACTTCAGATCCTTATCAACAGGGAAATGGTACCAGAAGAATTTGCATTAACAAGCTTTTCTAACCCATCTTTATCTGCCATTTATTTGCCTTCCCACAACTTTCCACCCTTAGAAACTCAAATTCCTTTTCCTTTGTCTTGTCATTTCTCTTAAATTTTACTGTTTTTCATTGAAGATGCTTTATAAGCTGAAATCCAAAGCCGCCTGCTTGAGAATTATTCATTCCCTGGATATATGCTAACTAGATATGAAATATACATGTTAATATACTTCTTTTTTCCTCCCTCTTGGTTAACTGTCTTTTGTCTATTCCAACTGAGAAATTATCAGGGTTGAGGCAAAACAATTTTTTTTTTCTTCTGAGAACTTGAAGAGTCCCCCCAACCAAAAACAGCCAGTATCACCCGAGTTCTCATTAGAACTTTGCAGAACAGGACAACAGAGGAAAAAAGGGTCCTGAAAGTCGCTCTAGCCTTTTGCTCCCACCCTCTGATCTCTGCCAGCACCTCCTGTGGCTGAACCCCATGCAAATGTGGGGAAAGCAGGGATGGAGAGAATCCGTGGTGAGACAAGAAGGCAGAAAGGTCCATCAGTGGTCTGATGGTACTTTGATGATGCCCTGGTAACAGTCTCTGTCCTCTGCAGTGGACATATATATGTGTGTGTGTATGTATGTATGTGTATATATATATTATATATATATATATATTCTTGCCTCTTGCCTTCACAGTTGCTTTTGGTTCATTGTGGTTTCTCTGGTTTACGTGTTTCCTGTGATTACAAAAATAGATGAGTGAGTTCTAGGATTTTGTACCTTTGGTTTTAGTTAAACACGGTCAGGACTAATAGGGTACCCACAGAAAAAGTAGTTTTCAAATTCCTATCTGCTTTAGGTTATGTCTTCATCATAAAAATAACAAACTATTTTCGTTTTAAGTGACAAAGCAGCATGAAGTAACCAGAATAAAGGCAGCGACTCAAAGAAAGAAAATGTCGAGTAGGGAGGGAGACCTGATGTTTTCCCCATCTTGGGAGTTCACTAAGGCATCCAAATGATTAAAAATAGAAATAAAAGGTCATCAAAATAGTCAAGTCTTTATTAACTAAGAACGTAAAGGTAGTTGGTCAGATGTTTCCATATTTTCAGGTCGCGTAAACTTTGGGGAGGAAAAAAAAAGAACTCAGGATCTTTACCACGTTTGCTTGCTGAAAAGCTCTCTCAAGTGACTGAAGAGGATTTGTTTCAAGCCTGTATTAAGGAGTTAATTCTGTGTTCTGGAGTTCAGATGCTCTATGACTAACCTTGGATCTCAGTATGATGCCTCCTGCTGTAGCAAGGAGGATTGGGGAGAGGATAGAGCCCTTAGAAGGAATTCACAGATGCCCCCAGGACATGGCAGTGGCAAGTTGGGGAATGAGAAACACAGTCACACCCTGCTGGCCTCCCTGCCCCAAGGCTTACAGAGTGCTTGCGGGATGAGGTTTCCTAATGCCTGCAGGATGAAGTTTTCTACCTGTTGTTGTGGCTTCTGAGGTGTCCCAGTGAGGGCCACAGTGCTCTGGCAAACATCAGAAAATTCAGGTTATGCTTTTTTGTATATATAGGTGGCATGAAAAGAAGCCCACAGAGCTGGATGTGGCAGAGATTCTGATGGGTGGACATTTCTGGCCTCGCTCTGGGTGGGCAACAGGTGGCGGAGATCGTGAGATGAACCAATCAACCATGGTTGGTTGGGGAACCCTACATGATGCTGCTACATGATGTTGCAGGAACCATAAACATTTGGGGTGGTGGGGGAAGAACTAGAGTGTGGTGGACAACCCATCTGTAGTGCAGCTCAGGCACACAGTACTGTTTCAAAGTAACGCATGTTGAAAGCAAAATTTGATTTTCTGAACAATCAACCATTTGACAAACCTTCATCTAAATGATTAAGAAAAAAGAGAAGATTCAAATAATGAAAATCACATGAAAGTGGGGGCTATTACTGCCAACTTTACAGATATAAAAAAATCATAAGAAAATATCATGAATAACTGTACACCAACAAATGAGATCACCTAGAAGGAAGTGAACAAATTTCTAGAAACTCTAACAATTGCAAAAAATTAACTCAGGAAGAAATAGAAGTAGAAAGTCCAAAAAGATCTATAAAAAAAATAGATTGAGCCAGTAATGAAAAATATCCCTCCACCAAAAAACAAAACAAAACAAAACAAACCTCTGTGTATGTGTGTATACACACACACACACACACACACACACATACGCACACACATTCTGGGTCAGATGGCCTTACTCGTAAGTTTTATAAACATTTTTTTAAAAAATTAGCATCAATACTTCTGACAGTTTTTCCAAAAATAGAGGAAAAGGGAACACTTCCTCACTTATTCTATAAAGCCAGTATTGCCATGAGAGTAAAGCTAAGGTGACATCATGAAAATGCTAGAGACCAATATCTTTCATGATAGATGCAAAAATTCTCAACAAACAGAATCCAATGACACATTAGAAGGATTATACACCACGACCAAGTGAGATTTATTCAGAGAATGTACATGAGTTGACATAAAAAGACCAAGCAATGCAATATACCACAATAACAGAAAAAAGGCAAAATAAAATAATACACCTCTGCATCTTAGTTGACACAGGGGGAAAAATACAATATACCTCAAGACAAAAAATATTTGAAAAAAAATGGAACAGAAAGGAACTTCCTGAACATAATAGAGAGCATTTGTCAAAACACCACAGTTAATATCATGCTCAGTAGTGAAAGACTGAATGATTTCTAAGACCAGGTATAAGACAAAGGTGCTCATTTTCATAATTGCTATTTAACATCAAACTAGAAGTTCTAGCTATTGGAATTAGGTAAGAAAAGGAATTAAAAGACATCAAGATAAAAAAAGCAAGAAACAAAACTATAATCCAAGATGACATTATCTTATATATATGTAGAAAATGCCAAATAATCCATTAAAATCCTTACCAAGTTTATAACAAAAATTTGGCAAAGTTGCAGAGTACAAGATTGACACACAGAATTGGTTGCATTTCTATACATCAGAAATGAACAATCCAACACGAAAATTCGGAAAATAGTTTCATTTACAATAGCATCAAATAATAAAATACCTACAAATAAACTTAACCAGTGAAAGGCTTGTTTACTAAAACTACAAAAATTATAAAAGAATATAAAGAATATATAAATAAAGCAAAGGCAGCCAATATTCATGGATTAAAAAACTTGGTTTCAAAATACATTACAAATATACAATAACCAAAATAGTGTGGGAATAACATACAAACAGATCAATGGGATAGAATTGAGAGTTCAGAAATAAACTCATGCATTCTTTGCTACTGAATGTTCAACAAGGCTGTCAAGACTATTAGGTGGGGAAAGGATAGACTCTTTAATAAATTGTGCTGGTATAACTGGATGTATACATGCAAAAGAGTCAAGTTGGTTGGACCTCTTTCTCACATTATCTACAAAAATTGTCTAAAAGTGGATCAGTGACCTAAATATGAAAGTTAAGATTTTAAAACTCTCAGATGATAATCTGAAGGTAAATCTTCATCATCTTTGATTTATCTATTAATTGTTAAATATGACATCAACTCCATACGTATCAAAAAATTAAATTGTAGTTTTTATCAAAATTAAAAACTTTTGTGTTCTAAAGGGCACTATCAGTAAAGTGGAAAGATAATCTACAGGATAAAGAAAATATTTGCAAATCATATATCTGATAAAGTCCTAATATCCAGAATATATAAAGAAGGTCTAGGGCTGGGGATATAACTCAGTGAGTAGAGTCTCATACTTGATTAGCAAGCTTGAGGTCATGGGTTTGATCCCCAGCACTGCAACAAACAAATAAACAAAAGAATGACTATATCTCAACAAAGACAAACCAGTTTAAAAATGGTTAAAACACTTAAAAAGACATGTCTCCAAGTAAGAAATGATCAATAAGCACAGGAAAAAGCAAGTCCATATCATTAGTCTTTAGGGAAATGCAAATCAAAACCCACAAGATACACTTTACACCATTAGGACGACCATAATGTTTTTAATGGAAAATAAAAAATGTTGATAGGACTTGAAGAAATTGGAACTCTATTACATTGCTGGTGGGAATGTAAAATGATGCAGCAGATTTGAAAACAGTTTGACAGTAACTATAAAAAGCTAAGACATAGAATTATTATATGACTCTGTATTTCTAGTTCCAATATAAACCTCTAAGAACTGAAAACAGGTAATCATATACTTGTATATGAATATTCATAGTAGCACTATTCACAATAGCCAAAAGGTAGAAATAACCCAAATGTCCATCAATGAGGAATGCATAAGTCAATCGTGGTCTCCACATATACTTACACATAAAAAGAAATTAAGTACTGATACATGCTGAGAAGGGGATGAGCCTTTAAAACTTGCTAAGTGAAAGAAGCCAAATGTAAAAGACCACGTATCTTATTGCTCCATTTATATGGAATATTTAGAAAAGGTAAACCCACAGTGATGAAGGCTGATTGGTATTTACAGGGGTTGGGGGAAGGAAGAATGGGGAGAGGCTGATTGATGGGTGTAGGGCTTTGTTTTGGAGTGATGGAAATGTGTTAGAGGTAGAGCACACCATTGTGAATGCACTTTGTTATGTGAACACCACTTCAATTAAAATAACACGTCTATCATAGAACATCCAAACATTTTAGAAAATAAAAATAAAGGGAAACACAATCATCCATCATTTGTGAACCCAATTTTGTGACTCCTGCTCCATTTTCCCTCAACTTACAGATTTGATTTGATTTTAAAATTGTGTATACGGAATTGTAGTCATATCATATATAAGTTTTTGTAT